TACCTATGATTTCAGGAACAGTCAAGTCCTTCAATTATCAGCCCTGGAACCTGTGATCGGAAAGAACTAAATAATTGCTGGTTGCAGGTAAGATTTCACCTGTGCAAATGAATCTCTGTTGTTGTTCAAATAGCCTTGGAGACCAGAGCTGGGAAATCCCCCCTGACAGGTGCCAGAGCTTTAATTGCAATGATGTCACGGTGTCTATTTGTAACTCTGCATATTCTCAGAAGTGCTCTAGCTAGCTTCCCCCCAGCATACCCTGCATGGAAGTAGCATGGACTACATCTCTAGCTAGATTAGCATCGCTGTGGGTTATTTGCCCAGGCATAAACCAGTCCAATCTGAGAACTAGGACCCATGTGAGGGCCTTTGATTTTTGGATTGGGCTGTGAGTCCCTGCTATGGGCAGGAGGCTTAGACAATGACTCCCATGTCCAAAGGGTTCAGCGAAAAGCTGGAAGGTAAGAAATGTCAATGCGTATTAAACAGATCAGTGAGTGCATGTCCAGTGAGCCCTATGATTATGCACTGTCACAGGAGAGGCCTAGATGTGGGTTGTTTTTTTGAGGGGAAGGGGGTCTCACCACAATTAGCACTGACCCTCCCCCCCACACACATCACATACATGCCTTATAAGCAGTCCCAGCAAGGAGGACAAAGATCGAACTGGCTATGAAGACAGAATTCCCTTGTCATTCTCAAAGGGTCTGTCCACACCAGGATAAAAGGTGTTTTTAAAATGAGTAGGCTGTGGCAATAGGGAAAGAACCTAGCACCTCTGGATGTACAGGCTTGAGCCTCTACTTGCCTGAGGTAAAAGGCTTTGTTGGGCAAGTCAGGGTGTAGCAGGAGATCACCATCTATGTAACACAGCCACCACTAGGGGGTGACACACACAGTGCCACCTTGAGTGGTAGTGGCTTTCACTAATACTAGCTCATGTGTTCAAATCCCAGTGTAGACAGGGTAAGTAGCAGTTTACCGGGATCGCAATCTGGGTGTCCCCTAAAATCCCTGCTACGGATTTGCCTCGCCTGGGCACCAACTAACACGTGCCGTGCCGGCATTAGGATTTTATGATGTGTTAACTATCAGGTTTTACAAACACACCTAGCGTGGAGAAGCCTAATGGTGCCATTAGAGCAGGAATGATGCACACTAGTGGGGAATCTTAGACACTGCCTGCCTTTGCTGCCTCCGTTCTTGGGATCAATAGGACATCAATCTCGAGGGCTGCCCAACCGTGCAGCACCTTTTACAAGCATTGCAGTCACTCCCATGCCATCTCTTCCAGGCAAGGGGCCATTTTTTGTTATGTGATTGCACAGCACCCAGTACAATGGGGCGGGGGCCTCCAGCTGTGGCTACAGCACAAGCAGTAACAATAAATACAAATAGGGCTGCCGAATGTTACACAGCTCACATGGCAGCCATGCATTAGGCAGCCCTGCCACACATTCCTGCATCTCAGCTGACACCTCTCACCGTTCTTCTGGGAGGAGTTGTCTGCAGTTGTATCTTTTGGCCACTACAGGCTGCTGTAGCACTCATTGAGCAGTCAGCCCACCCCTCCTCCTTCTCTTTCAGCTTTGCTGCCCCCCATACCTCTCTAGCCACAGCAGCAATCCATCCAGCTCCTCACTCGGATTCCCACTGCCCCACATCCTCAAGCCCCTACCCCAGCCACTGCTCAGGGCAGGGTGTGTTGACCATAAAAGCTTACGCATAGTCAAATTCTTTTCAACTACCCACATGATCTTGTTAAACCATTTGCATGAAATGTCACAGGTGGAGCAGAACAAAGCTTGGCAGGTGGGCTGGCTGGAGACTGGGCACCTTGGAACTGGGAATGTGTCACCACACTGGCCTGAGACAACAACCAACCTTCCTTCCCAACCCAAGCTGCTTTCCAATTCCCAGGGCCTCCTTGAAACTAGAGGGGTGAGGAGCCGGCCGCTCCATTTCCTCTCCCCTGCAGTAGCAGCTCCCACTGCCATCCCAGACTGGAGGGGTTGTGGGAGAAATCCCGGTGATGGTGGAATCAATGGGAAAACTCCCAATTGAAGTCAATGGAGCCAGGATTTCACCCCATGTTTTCTTTTTCTTTCTCCCATGACCTCAGCCTCTTCTAAATTTCTCCTTAACATCTGCCTTTGCTGATCCCTACAAATCATGCCCAGCTGGCACTGCTTAGGCTAGTGGTCACTTGCGATTATTGAGACCTCCCTGACTACTAACTTATACGTACTCATCTGTCTCTAGTGGAATTTTATTCTCCCAACCTGCCCTCCATGACTGCCCATTCACCTACCACCTTCTGTCTAAATCCCAGATTGTGAGCAGCCTAGGGCAGAGGCTGCTTTTGTGTTATTTGTCTGACCAGTGCAATTGTTAGTTGTATTGCGATAGCGCCAAGGAGTTCCAAGCACGCCCCAGGACCCCATCATGTCAGGTGCTGTACACACACACAGTTCTATTGAGGCCCTTGTTCTGCCTTCATCACCACAGTATCTGACCTTCCAGTCATGCATTAAGCATGTGGTTCGTTCTCTCTCACATCCTCTCCCCAGGAGGAGAACTGTGGGGGCACAGTGGAATGGTTGGTTTGGGGAGGGGTTTGGTTTGGGTTTGGTTTTTAAATGCTGATGCTGCTCTGTATGTGAGGGTAGGTAGGAGTAGTCCAAATCCCGACTTCACCTGGCACTTAGAGTGGGAGGTAGCTTGTGATGGCCCATAGTTAGACCAGCCTCTGAGAAAAGTCAGTCTCCTACATAGACAGATGGTCCCTGCCCACTGGGGCCCTGATCCCTGCCTGGGAGCCTTAAGTGCTACTGCAATCGAAATAATGATAATGTAAATCTCTGGTGATTGTGTGGTATCTTGTGTATGAAAGAAAACAGGGCAATGTGTGAATACCGGGGCCTGCTAGAATCTATGAGCACAATAGGCCACCTAAACAATGCTTGTAGGTCCTGGAGGTTACCACACTCACCAATCATTGGCTCTGTGTATACGTCACAGAGGGCTTATGCAAATCACTTGCTCATTGATATGCAGAATGTACAGGCTCCATCTGCCCAGAGGCATATAGCTGGTCAATTTTGTTTGAGTTTCAGGTCAGTAACAAACATTGCATGTGGCAGAAAGCTGCTATTTACTATCTTCAAATATCTGAACAAAAGCATATGTGTGTGTGTGTGTGTGTGTGTGACAGAGAGAGAGAAAGAGTAAAATTTTATGGGCCAAATCCTTAGCTGCTGTAAATTGACACAGCTCCATTGGAGTAATTGGAATGACACCGATGATAAAGCCAGTTCCTAAGCTGCTATATAATCTAGTGGCGCCTATTGTAAAGTTAACTAAAATGTGAAGCTTGGTGTATCTAGTGCAGTAAAATGGCCGTCCCGGGTTAGTCCAATGCATTTTGATGCGATGTTTGTTACGGGGCCAGATTCTCAAGCCGTCAATTCCCATTCTGGTTCCTAAATAAGGATCGGTTCAGCAGCCAGGAACTCCCAGTGTAACTCTAAGGCCAGATTTTCAGACTGAGATTTTCAGCACTCAACATCCACCCAACATGCTGAGCTCTTGAAAAATGTGGTCCTAATTGTGGCCCTAAAATTCCAGCTATAGTGGTTTTGACCCAGATTCTCAAAAGTATTTGAGAATCTGAATTCCTTTGGGGATCTGGGTCATTCTGCTCAGAGTGAAGCTCTTAATCAAAAATAATTTACTTCCCTGAAATGTTACCCCAACTTCCAGCAAGCTCCTGTCCATGCTGCATTTGAAGCTATGCTAGGTAGAAGAGTGTTTGATGGGTGGTTAAGAGCAGGAAAATCACTATAGAGAAAATTTACCCTCTGATCCCACAGCACTGTCCCCTGTGTGTACTGAGAATCAGATCCACCTACAGTAATAAATACCTAGATAGATGCCTTTCCTGCAAATGACAATGCTCTGCTCCTGTCAGCTCAGCCAAGCCACCACAGCGATGGGAAGCTGAGTGAGGTTCTAGTCTGGCTCATCTGTCGTTATTGTTATTAATAACTAAGTTTCGCTCCAAGAATCCTTATTACGGGTGATGATGATGCACAATTTAGAAAGAGCCCGGGGTGATTCCCAGGTTTGTAAGACTGTCAGACAGAAAGTCATCTCTTGACTGGGAGACCAAAGCAATTGAGACAAACAGGGATGTGCGTAGAGCCACTCGTTCAGTCACTTCTCAGAGCTGGGCTGCCCTTTAAAAATGGTTGCTGGAAACACGAATCTAGCACAGTTTTCCTGATAGATTCATAGGACTGTTTTTTCCTTCAAAGAGCTGGTCTCCAGCTACCCCAGCAATGTGGGTTTATATTGTGATTCTTGGGGAGGTGTGTGTGTTGGGGGCCAGCAAGCACAGGAACCATGTTAGCAGCCACTGGGGTTCAGCAGGGAGCAGGGAAGCTGCCAAGCCATCCAGAATTGGATTCTGGCTCTCACAGAACAGAACTCCCAGTCCACACCTGTTTCACAGCAGCACTGATGTCACAGCTTTGGCCACAACCACCAACCAGTGCCTGTTGGCCTGGTTACATGCCTGTGTGTATCTATGTATACACACACACACACCCCTTCTGTTCTGTATATATGTCATAACCTGGCAGCCTAACTCCCTATGTCTCCCCTTCACACACAGCCACCAGCCTCAGCCCTTCTCTCAAACTTCCTGCTGCTCTCAAGATACCATGAAGCACTCCTTTAAAAAGCCCCCTGGAGGGGCTCTCTGGCCCCCCGCGCTGAAGAACAGGGCAGGGCGTTAAGAGGTGGTAAAGGCAGCCCGTGGGGCTTGTTTCACTTCCCAGCTCCCTTGCCCGCTCCCAGCTACCCCCGTCCAGCAACTGGGGGAGGGGGTCACAGCTGATGCCTGTCGCTCCCTCCCGGCTAAAGCTCTGATGGGACCTAACACCCGCCACACGCCCCCTCCCAATAGCCCCCGGCCCCGCCGGAGCTTTACCTACCCGTTGAGAGCCAGAGCGTCTTGGGGTCTAGCCAGCCGGGGGCCCTGCTCTAGGCAGAAATCCAGCGGCGGGGCCCCTCTCTGCAGCTCCGACAGGAGCTCTGCTTTGTCGTGCGGCAGGGCGAGGAGGGGGCCCGTCTCCATGCTCGGGGCTGGGGCTGGGCTGTCCGGCACGCTGGAGGGGCGAAGCCGAGTGCCAGGCAAAGAGCCGCCGCGGGGCACGCCCCTAATGTCACGCCCCTAGCGCCCCGGTCTCTCCGTGTCGGTGGTGTCGCACATGGGTCCCGCTGCGGATCGCAACCAGGAAGCGTCGCTACTCGGTCGGCGGCGCTGTGGGAGTTTCACCGAGGAAGAGGAGTCATCGTCAGCTGTTGGGTGAGCAGAGAAAGTTATTCACGCCCGCAGCGCCGGTGAATTTCTCAATGGCAGGGAGCCTGTTCCATTCCCCACCACACACACACAAAGGGCAGAGGGTGTCTGCCCACGCACTCAGTGTCGCAACAGTGGGAAGTTTGCAAAGAAACTCAAGGTCCCCGAGAGGCGCGCACATCCCACCTTTGGCCTTTCCAGGGGTCTGCGAGGGGAGACCCTTGTTACATTTTCCAGGGACGTCATTTCTGGGCTATATTTCTACCCTGAATATTTTCATTGAGAATTTCCCGACATAACAGTTCACACAGGATGCAGCCACATTCGCCCAATGCAAATGTACACATGTGTGGTAAAACACACGTTCATACACACGTTCATACACGCGCACACATACAATGCATACCCACACACAGACTGATACAATTCATACACACATACAGTAGTACCTACAACACCCAAAGAGTGACACACAGTGCCCCCCTCCCCACACACAATTCATGCAGAGGTGCAATGGCACAAGTGCACACACAGTTGATTACACAAATTATACTGGCACACTATAGACGCCACACAATTCATACACCAGATGCAGACACACAACTCATCCTCATTTCATAGCTGGGCAACATTTTTAGCTGACACTTGCCAATCTGCAAAAAAAATGCAGATTTGGTGACACCAAAACATGTGATGAATTTTTGTTGATTCTACCAAACAGTTCATTTCTGAAAATAAATGCTTCCGAAAATCTAAAATAATTGAAGTGTTTCATGCGGGCATCTTCAAAATGAAGCTTTCATTTTTCAATTTTTCATTTGGAACTAATTTTCTTTTCAAATTCTCCTTTAATTTTATTTTTTTAAAGTCAAAAATGTTGAAAATTGATCACAATTGAAGTGAAATGCTTCATTCAACTTGAAACTATTTTTTTTCTTTTTGATTGGCTGAATTAAAAAAAAAAACCCATTTGTTTTCAATCCAACCTGAAACAATTTTTTTTGACATTTTGAAATTGCCCAGTGAAATGAAAAATCAGTTAGTTGCCCAGCTCCAGTCACAGACACAGAAGAGCACATGCAATTCCTGTTGTACATGTGGCCACAATCAGAGCTTAAAGTGGCTAGAGTTGTAAGGGGTCCAAGGCCTGAAAAAAACCCCAATCAAGCCGGGCCACTGAAGGGTGCACTGTAAGCCCTGTCATACCAACCGCATGAAAATTGATTTCAGCTGAGGCATGCTAGACCCTCTGCTTTTCTCACACAGTTCATCCGCCACATACTGTAACAAGCAAGCAAACAACTGAAACCAATGATGATGCAAAGAGTTCTGAGTGGAGAAAGCAGCCCAGTTACCCAGTGATAATAATCTCGGTGTGGGTAAGAGTGAAATCAACCACAAAGCAGAAAGGGGCGTCAGTGGGTGGCCGAAGAGTGTATATTGACAAGGCATAAAGGTTCGGCGGCCACAAAGGACAATCATACCAACCCCAAGCAATACGACTGCTCGGGATTTTGGTATGAGAAGAAACTCCAGTAAATGACGCATTTTCTGTAGGTTTGGCTACTCCACACACTCGGCAATCCATGTGATCCAGGCCATCTCCAGTACCATCTGTATAGCACTCTCCCTGCTCCACAGGTGGGGCCACTTAGTGGAAGGAGCACACAGGACCATCACGCTGAGACCAGGGTGGGTCCAGTCCAACGACAGCTGAAAGCTGTCAAGTAGGCTTGTAAAATCTAGAGATGGGTTCTAGCAGCTGATCCTGGATCCAAATTCTCTTTATTTTCAGGGGCATCTGGTTCTGGGGTTGTGGCTCAGGCCCTCCCTAGGGACTTCCCACTTCACCCCAAATGTGGGCATTTTCCAGTACCGCCTAGAAGGAGTTAACAGAAGGAGTGGGGGTGTAGAGGGAGGGAGCTCTCCCTACCCTCACTGGGGAGGGGTATCCTTGTGCTCACTCCACTAGGTGGGGAAGGCGGAGAGGGAAACTGTGCCCCCTCTGCTCCCCCGCTCCCACCCAATTAATGCTGCTTATAGCATTTGCAGAGACATTGCTCCCCTGAGACCCTGTGAGGGGCCTTCCATGTCGTGAGTGCCTGGTGCCGATAAAGCTTCCTTTAACAGAAACCTGGAACTGCTCAAATGCTGAGGGTACATCCACACTGTACACTAAGCCCAGGCTATGACTCAAGTTTCAGCTCAAGCCCCCATTTGGTCCACACACAGATCAGTCTGACTCGGATCAGCAAGCACTCAGAACCCCTACAACCCCGCTGGAAGGGGTTCGGGGGGGGGGAGAACATAAATCTTGCTGTGACTTGGGTCCAAGCCCTGTCATTTTGCAGTGTGCACCAGGAACAGCGGAAACCCCCTAAAACTGGGATCCACCAGGGCCTGAACTATAGCCTCACCCCCCATGCTGCTCCTTCCCCTGAGGCCCCGTCCCCACACTGTCTCTTTCCCCAAGACCCTGCTCTCACACTGTCTCTTCCATCCATGACCCCACCCGCTGCTTGCTCCTCTCTGCCCCCTCACCACAGTACCTGATCCCCCCCACAATCTTTATAGCTCTGCCCCTGCCTCCAACAGCTGTGTGAGGTAGTGCTCCCTGAGGCTCCATGGTCCCTATTGTACAGGTGGGGAACTGAGGCACGGGGTGACTAAGGGACTTACCGGTGGTAGAGCAGAGAACTGAACCCAGGTTCTCTAATTCCTACCCTACTACCCTAACCACTGGATCATCCTACTTCAGGACAGGAGATACCAATCACTCACTGTGTGACTGTACAGTGCCTGACACAATGGGACCAGATCTGGGTCAGGCCTCTAGGTGCTACTGGAACATGAATACTACCAGCACTATCTAGGCAGTGACTAGCCAGGCCATCCATGATGTGGGTCAGTGGTTGCTGGCTTTGCTGCCTTTTGTTCCACTCCCGGCACATGATAGCCGGACAGCCACCAATTTCTGCTTTTGGGTTCTGCTTTCCTCCCCTGTCCAAGTCACACAAGAGCAACCCAGGGGGTTTGCATCTGATGAGTGGCCACGGCTGGGAATTTCCAACTCAGCAGCCTCTGAGGTGAGAGCGTGTACGCAGCCGAAATGCAGAAGCACCCGCACCATTTCCTGGAGCCCTGCGCTCGGTGACGGCCCTTATTGGTAAATAACTCTTCACGCTGGAGCGGCTGTGGAATCAACGGGGGAGGGAAGGAAAACAAGGTCTCCACCACCCACAAACCCTCCAGGCTTTGGGGGAGTATCAAGGTGAATGAGGCAATTCCCACCAGACCACCCACCCACACATGTGCAGCTTATAAATAGATCAGTGTGGCTTGTTCCGCTGAGCTGGGGAGTCACCCTCCTCCCCTGTCTTCTAGCAATGCCGCAAGGGGAGGGAGGGGCTGGAAGAGTCTTGGCCTTGTTTTTTATCTGTGTGTAGATATATATAAATACAGACACTTTGTATTCACATTTAACCCTTTCTGTCCTGTTCCTCCAGCTGTGTTTGGGCCCCGCCTCTTAAAGGGGAATGCATTATTTCTTCTTGGGACCAGATGGACATTCAGGGCACTGCATTCTCTAGAGCTGATTCTCAGTTACTCCAGTACTGCTTGGGGCAGGGAAGCCACCCTGTATTCTGGGCTGTGCAGGAGCCTACTCAGGCCCTGGTGCAAATTAGAGCAGCCTCAAGGCCACACTAACTTACACACCCTTTTCATGGTCCCTATAAGCCCTGGAGAGCTGGGAAAAGCCATAGTCCAGTGCATCCTGGCCATGTCCGCAATCCCCCCACCCCACTATGCCAGGGGCTGGTGCAGAGCCTTCATGCCAACTCTGTGCTGGTTGGGGACCTGCACCGGGGATCCTTAGGGAGCCATCTCTACCTACCTTACATTTCCTTTACACTGCTGGAGTGGCATAAAGGAGCCGTGGTCCAAGTGTAGTGTCTGTTCTTATCAATCATATAACTGAGACTCAGTCCCTAGGCTTGTGGACCCAGAACTGCAAAGGTATTTAGGCACCTAATGCCCTTTGATTTCAATGGGAGTTAGGTGCCTAAATATCGCTTGAGTATCTGAGCCATGCTCCTTAGCACAATGCCCCTACGACCATCTCAGCTGCTATTCAGAGCACAGTTCAAATCTCCATGGATCTGTCCCACCTACTGGGATCCGAGCTTCCCATAATCCCAAGTGGGTGTTGCGAGGCTGTGTTGTGACAGTGATCATATGAGGGTGGCATGCCCATAGGCGACCAGGCATAGTCTATATCATAAGAGTCCAGGAGTGTTGCTGTGTGTGTGTCACTCTGAGGCCTAGAATGTCTGTTGAGTCAGTGTGAAGTGATGGAAACAGCTAGCAGCATGGCTGAGAGCTCTTTTTGTTCTGAATATCACCAGGTTCAGTCATCACTGGGATCACGGTCTGGGCTTTCAGCTACAGTATGGCATGAGTCTATGCCATGCCCAGAGTCCTAGAGCACTGTGATATCACAGGTGACTCCACCAGGCACCACCCTGACTCTAGAGCTAATTTGGATGCAACACATTTCATTGGTTGTGTGAAGGAGGCTCTCCCAGATGATTGCTTGACCCAATTGCCACAGTTCCTGCAGCATGGCTTTCAGTTCCTACACTTCAAGTGCTGCGCCCAGCTTCATGCAGTGCTAACACTTTGTGCCAATGCAGTTATTTTGTTCACTGTGGGAGAATTACCTCTCTGCAATCCAAGGCACAGAAGCAGCAAGACCTGATTCATAAGCTGCATGGTTGGAACTTGATCCCTAAGTCCCAGAGATCCCTAGGCAAGTCTTTCTATCCCACAACACATTGTGAAACATTCCCAGAAGGCACTGCACCAGATGGTTGCACATGGCACACTGGGATACCTACTCATGGTGCACCACACTTTGCATCGACACGAGCACTCCTGGTGAGTACACGCAGTACCAAGTGTGCAATATGCTAACTGCAGTGGCTGTACGCCGATCTTAATTGCGTCACAGTCTGTAGGGTAGACGTGGCCTCAGAGATGTTGAGCAGCTGAAGCTCCAGTGGATTTCAGTGGGCGCTAGTGAGTGTGCAGCACTCCTGACAATCAGGTCCTTGACTA